CTCGCAGGAATTGCCACACATTCTTGAAGATGTTGCAGCCAGCGTCAAGTCGAAGTCGGGTGGAGAGTGAATGACAAGGAATGCAACCCGGATCGCGGGCGCCGAATGTGGTTTACCAAGCAGGAGGAGGGGACGGAGCTGGTATTCGTGAAAACAGTGCGTTAGATGTCTTGTCTGTCCTTGGCTGACTGATTCTTTGCGACGACTTCTACCCTGATATTCTTTATCCTCGCCCCATTCTGCGCACTCGTCCGCGTGCTGACGCTGCCCAAAAACGATCGCGGCTACCACCGAAGAAATCGAAGCAGGAGATGCTGCTGCCAAAGCTGAAGACTCCGACTATTAGTCGGTACCAGATGAAGATGACACCATCAAAGGCATCCCAGATTTCCGGCGGCCCTGAAGAACCTTCCTGCTCTTGCGGAGCTCATCACAGAGCGTGATGCGGAGGCCGCGGTAACATCCTCCCTACCGACACTGTGTGTATTCCATTGTTGACTGTGTTCTGTAGGTGTCTGGTGAGGAGTTCACGCCATTTGCGAGAAACCGGCCTATCAAAAAGTCAGCGCTTGTGCCTCCTCGACACGTTCAAAAACACTGACCTGTTCCAGTTCATCCATCGCTGCCATTCGCTTTTTAGTTTGTTTGTTCCAAGTTGATCGGTCTAAAGCAAAATGTCAGCGACGACATACTTCGGGGTACTAGTAAAATCCTACCATCCCATTTTATTGCTGACCGTGTTGCGTAGGTTTTGCACTAAAACGTGGGTTATTCCCTTCAAATCTGCCGTTAGTTAAGTGCTATGTTTGTCATTTGAGACGCTGATCGTGTTGCAGTGGTCAATGACGATTCAGGATGTTCTATCGCTGAACTTGATCGTAACTCGAAGTGTCCATTCCGGCAAGAAGGTTCATGAGTTCGTCTTGCAGGTCATCCCAGTGGAGGAACGCTACCCCCTGCATTACGGCTTGAACAACTGCAACCCTCTTGGTTTCGGGCCGGCTTCCCCAGACCGCATTAACCATAACCTTACGGCGCACTTGCGGCTTGTAGTTGGCAGGACGGCGGTCGCGGTGGGGAGTCTGCAGAGCAGGAATCCGAGTGGGATAAGGTGTGGGGCAGCGATTGGGGAGAGGACGGAGGATAGCATGGAATCATGGATGTGCTGCCCACCCGCTGCCATTTTCCTCGCCATCACTCTCGCCATCGCCATCGCCGGCGGGGCCATGCGGGAAATGTGTACACGCGTCTGCCCACCCTGCGCGGGCGGGCGGGTGGTGAGTGGCGCCACCGGAAGGTGTGAGCGCCATTGTTATTCCGCTGGAGGGCACGTATTTCGACCCTGACACGGCGTGGATGCTGGAGCCGGGGAGCACAGTGTGTGTTAGAGAGTGTTGTTAAAATAGATAGTGCTCATCAACAATCCTGATAGTCTTTGCAGTATGCACTAGCCAACATGTAGGTGATTATATAGTGGTATATCACACTTTTATAGAATCCCAATCAGAATCCCAATCAATGATAGTCCTAAAATCTGGTCACAATATTCCAGGCTGGAACATGTGATATATTCCAGGCCGGAATATTGAATGAAAACATGTGGCAGATTGAGAATATTCTACGGATCTGCCCAACATTTTCCGGGCTGTCATATACTTGGCAGATGGTGAGAAAATTGAGAATATTCCACGGATATTCCTGTCATATTCCAGTCTAGAAGATGGAATGAATACAGCCTGGAATATTCATAATATTCTCAACATATTCCAGGGCGGAATATGCTCCATTGCCCGCAGTGTTACTCCGTGCAAGGAGGCGTTATCGACTCATCGGGCCCGACACGACCCGATTCGAACCTTCGACCACCGACCACGGCAAGGGACCGAGTTCACGGGCCCTTTCGGTTTCGATCTACCCCGCCCGCCGCACTTGCGGGCCCGACTATCCGTCTGTTCTGTTCCGGGCCGCGCGTTCTTAGGAGAGGTTCTTGCACGGCCCGACCCGCAGTCTGACAAGAACAAAGTCAAGTAAAGTATAAGAGGAGTTTCATATGAGGAACAAGGCATAGATGATTACATAGATCATAAGTTAGGGTAATTGGAAATGCTCTGTCACAAACAACACCAATTCAGAGGATGCCAGTTGGCCAGTGAAGGCAAGCAAGAAGCACTGTGAAAGGATATCGTAAAGATGATGGAATTCGAAGACTGGGGTACAAGACGAGATCTACTCTACTTATATACACTACTACCATGTATTTACCATGCCTAATACGAGAGGCAATGACGTCATACTTTAGCCATGCCTTTACGTGCTGTTTGCCTCATGTCCAACTCCACGCTGTCAATCAACATCAGCATCGACATCTGATGATCCAATCACTATCTTATCGTCCATCTTATCTCCTCCTTGTCTTATCTTATCAACCAGGGCCAGAATAAAAGGTTTAAAGGGCGAAGAAAAAGGGTTTTTGAACCTAGGGTTTGACATGCTCATTGCGTCAAAAACCAAATACCGGAGACGGATATCGGAGATGGATGCCAGAGTCGGCACGGATATAACAGCATGATACCTTAAAATGTCCCAAGTTTGGCATTTTTTTCATGCTATAATTATCAAGTAATTTAAGAATTTCATTGAAAATTACAGTTTATAAGCTGGGTTCTCCAGATAAAAATACAGATCTATGCAGGGATAGTTCATTGGATATTACTGCTACTATTTATGCATATACGAGGTAGAAAGATCTATGGATTGGTTCAAAGGCAAATAAAACTTAGGAAAAGGTGAATTTATTGCTTTGATCCTATACTGGTGCAAATTATAGCTGGAAATATGGAAGGGGTGAAGACACTCCAGCTTTGGGTGTGTATTGTTACTTCTACTGGTTAACATATATGTATAGACAATATGGGGGGTTGTCCATTTGTTTGTGTAAGTTGACAATCACTGGGAACATGTCATGGCAGGCTTGCCGTGATGTGACACTGACAATCAGTAACAAAAATAAACCTTTTTTGGATCCAGTATCTGGATCAGTCACGAGAAGGGGCCGTGAATGCTTACACCGGAGAATTTAGCCGACAGTGGCGGGTTCAAGCGCCGCCGCAGGCGCCAGAAAAAAAATTATAGACATTTGGAACAGTAAATTTTCAACATTGTATAGTAGTCTATTAGTAGATCTGAGATGTATGGTAGGACACATGCAATCCCTAGGTAAGCTCTCTTTTTCTCCTTTTTTTCTCTTTCCTTTTTGGGAATTTATTTTTTCTTCTTTTGGCTACCAACAACACCAGTATATCTAGCCAAATTTAACAAGTAGGCTATTAAAACTACCTTATGATCACGATTCATCGTGTGACCGGCCACGTCATAGTCCTTCTTCCACGGCCATGGCCACATCTGCCTCCCATCTCCGCGCCCAGATGGCCGCTATCGCTGGCCACATCTGCTCGTTGCGAAATCAAGTAGCAGCTCTCGAGGCGCAACAGGCCGCGCTGGCCGCCCAGCTCATGGACATCAAGTACCCTGTCCTCACGCTCCCGGAGGACCTCACCGTGCGTGTGTGGGAGCATCTGGTGCCACCCTGGGCGCCAGATCTGGACTACAAGTACGAGACTCACGCCCCGGCCCAGCCGGCGCTCGTGCTCGCGAGTGTGTGCCGTGCCTGGCGGGCGCTTGCGCTGTCGACGCCAGCCCTGTGGAGCACGATAACCGCATCGTGGAGCCGAGCGTGGGATCCGCACCGCGGCAGCACGAGCCCGGCCGGCGCGCTCACGCTGGTGTCCCAATTCCTGCACCGCGCTGGCCCGGCCCGGCCGCTCGACGTCGACGTGCGTCTCACGGGCGAGGAGTGGGCCGACGACATATTGCCCGTGCTTCGGCCCGCCGCGGCCCGCCTCCGGCGGCTCCGAATCTGGTTTGAGAGCAATTCAGCGTTCGAGACGGTGCCGATGTTGACCGCTCGCTCGCTGCCGGCGCCGCTGTCTGTGCTCGAAGCCCTCGACCTGGGAGTCTTTAGCCTGTCCGGGCTCCAGCCTGCCCCGGAGACCACCCGGCCGGCGCCGAGGCTGCGCTACTTGCGTGTTGCGTCCGCCGACGTGGCGCTGGGACTTGGAATATCAGTAAGCAATATCACGACGCTCATGCTCGCCCGCGCAAAACCTGGCAATACGACTGCACTGCTCCGGCAGATTCCGCGACTTGCGGTGCTGCACCTCTCCTACTACCGCCTGGGGTCCGAGTCGACGTCGCAGATCGCTGAGCCTGCCCCGGGCTTGCTGGTCCTCAACCACCTCCGCGAGCTCCACTGCCTGCACGACATATGGGCCCCTGTTTTAGACCGCCTGTCGCTGCCCGCCCTCGAACAGGCGACGTTCGCCGGCTTCTACGACGATGCCGGCCCGGCGACGTCCAGTCTCATCGCCTGCCTGCAGCGCACCGGCCCGGGCCTGCGCGCAGTAACGCTCCGCGGCTCCGCGGCTCCGCCCGCTGGCCGGTGCTCGCCGCGCTGCCGCCCACGGTCACAAAGCTCACGCTCTACCACGTGCGCTGGGGCCCGCAGGACACGCTGCGCTTCGGCATGGAGCTGCAGATCGGCGTGCTCCCCGGCCTCGAGCACCTCCGCCTCAGGCATTGCTCCGGCGGCATCACGAACGTCTTCCCGTGGGCCATCGCGGTGAGCTCTCGGTGGCGCGGCACACAGGAACCGCCGCCGGCCCGGCTCCGCTCCTTTTTCTTGGGACTTATCCCGGACGCCGACCTGCCAATGGCGTCGTTCGATGAAATGCGGGCGGGGGGAATCGAGGTCGCCGTCGTGACTGAGTCGGAGGATCCCGAGCTGTGACGGAGATGTGATAAACCTTTGTGTTTTCCAGCTGGAATTTACGATGCAAGCGTTTGCCAGTATTCACACTGGCAGAAAGAATCGAAGCTCTCAGTAAATCTATGCTCACAGGAGTATCGACAGACTATCAGTTTTGAGACTCCCGGCCGTGACGCTAACGTCCAGCCCCTGCGCCTGCATCCTGCGCAACGGGTCGAGGAGGGGCGCCACGTCGGCAGCCGGTGTGAGCTCCAGGGCGAACGACTTGAGGCGCGCCGCCGGGGGCTTCGGGCCGTCTCCGGCCGCGGCGTCCATATCCACGTCCGAGTCGTCGTCCTCCGGACTCCGGCGGGGCCCAGCCGCCCCACCGGGCCGCGACCATGTCGACCCACATCCCGACACTCGAGACGCTCGCGCGGCCGGTGTGCGGCTGCACGACGTGCAGGTGCTCGAGCCCGCGGAGGCAGTGCCGCCGGCGGACGGCCCGGCAGAACAGGTAGATCCCGTGGGAGTCCCAGGAGAGGCTGTCCAGCTTGAGGGCCGCGACGGTGGGCGGCAGCGCGGCCATAATCGGCCCGCCGGCGGCGGAGGTGACGTCTACCAGGGTGATGGAGCGCAGGGCGGACGGGGCCGAGCGCTGGATGAGGGCGATGAAAGCTACGGATCCGACGTCCCGGAGACGGCGTAGTGTCACCGTTTCGAGGGCAGGTAGTGTGAGGCGGTCCAAGAGTGCGTCCCATTTGTCGTGCATGCACCAGAGCTCGCGGAGATGCGAGAGCACCACACCTGCGCCTCCCACGGTCCCGTACCCGCCCTCCTCGGGCCGGCCGGCCGCCAGATGGAGCGTCTCCAGCCGAGGAGTTTCGCGGAGCAAATCGACGGTCTGCGGCAGCCGCACGCGGACAAGCATGAGCGTCACAAGGTTGTCCAGCGACAGGCCGAGAGGCAGCGCGACTTCGGCCGACGCAACGCACAGGGTGCGGAGTTTCGGTGTGAAGATACTCGTGGCGGTGTCAGCGGCCAGGCTGAAGAATCGGAGGTCGAGGACTTCGAGTGCGGGCAGCGCGGCCGGCAGAAGGTTGCAGTCCAGGGCCACCGCGTCGTACTCGTCCTCGTCGAACGATATGCGCAGCCGACGCAACCGGCCCGCGGCGGGCTGCAGCACCCGAAATGCGTCAGTAACCGTCCAACTGTGCTCGGGTCCGCCGGGGAACTGAAAGTCGGCGTCGAGCGGCCGCGTGCTGCCGGAGCGCCGCAAGAACAGCGACACCAGCGCGGTGCAATCCTCGGGCTTGGTGTGTTCCCACGACGCCGTGATCGTGGCCCACGGGGCGGTCGTCGACAACGCCAGAGCCCGCCAGGCGCGGCACACACTCGCCACCACTATGGCCGGCTGCGCCGGCGCGAACGCATCGTATTCGTAGAAAGGATTCCACGGGTTGAGCACGAACGACCAGATCCGGAGCGTGACGTCGTCGGGGAGAGTCAGGATCGGATACTTGATGTCGTCGAGCTGGGCAGCGAGCTGCGCCCTTTCGGCGTCCAGAACGGCGATTTGCTGGCGGAGAGGGCGTAGCTGGGTGTCCAACACGGCGATCTGCCCTCGGAGCAGGGCGGCAGCAGAGGGCATGGTGGTGGTGGGAAGCAACAAGCGATTTCGGCAAAGGGCCGCGTCACAGACCTTGTTGAATGATTGATTGATGTATCACCTGATGTGACACAACGCGTTTGGTGGCGCACAGATCACAGCCAGATACCTACTATGCATAGATTATCATTTTAGATGAGCAAACGGTATCTCTATCCTACTTCTACATTCACCTCGCCGGCGGATCGTCTGATTCGTCATCCAGAATGCGCGCGAGCACGGCCTCCACACGACGAGCCGCGCGACGCGGTCGTCTGCGCCACCGTACCCCGGGACGCGCGCGCCGTGCACGTAGCCGATGCGGGTGTCCAGCGCCGCGCCTGCCGGCACGTGCACCGGCGGGTCGTCGGCGGAGAAGCGGCGCGCGCCGATAACGTCGCCATGGCGGCTGCGGATGTACACCCCGCCGGCGGCCGTGGCGGGGTCGAGCAGCGCGTGGAGCATGTGCTGCGCGCAGAGGTCTTGCGAGACCATCACGTGCCGGAGGAGGAAGTTCACCCACAGGGCAAGCGGCGCGAGGGCCCAGCCAAGGTACAGGTGCTGTGCGCCCGGTGTGGAGACCTGCCCGGGGAGGATGTGCGTGAAGGCGATGGGTGGGTTGGCCGCGGCGAAGTGCTGTCGGGGGATTAGCAACAAAAAGGGAGGAGAAGGAGGGCGCACCGCGACAAGCGCGTCGTTGTACGTCACGCCCCGAATTATTCCCTTCATCGCCGCGATGTTCTGCCTGCTATCAGCTCCCTGACCCCCACGAAAGAGGGAGAACTCACCAGCCCCGCGCCGCGCAGCCACCCCCACGTCGCCGCGCGCGCGCCATCGAGGCCGAGGTCGTCCGTCGCGAGAGTGTACCCCATCCCCGCGCCGAGCACGCTCACCACGTGCGCCGCCTGCCCCGCACGCGCCGCGGCGTACAGTGAAACGCGGTGCAAACGAAGGGTGGGGAGATGGAGAAATGGACAAAGAGGGGAAAAGGGGAAAAGGAAACTCAAGACAGCTGGACTCCACTCAACACTCTAACCAACCAAACCCACTCAATGTAGAATAGACTCCAAATATAATATGTTTGACGACCTGCGCGCGTGTTCGGGGGTTCCAGGCAACGTATATGCCTGTGGCAACCCAGTAATATTCGATAGTATATAGGTTAGGATGTGTAGATAGTAGACTCGAGGTACCAGACGACGAGCAGTGGTTCGAGAGGCGCGTGTGAACAACAAGGGTGAGTCAATACAGTCCCGGACCGAGTTGACGTTGACAGCTGACGTTGACGTTGACGTTTGACAGTTCCGTGGTGCCCCGAAGGCCGTTCCGTTCAATACAAGACACAAACGATGCTCCTCCCCTTTGGGACGCAAGCGGTGAAGACAATCGCACAGGGATTTCTTGTTCTTGTACTACACAGGTGGGTCTCTTATATATGTTTTCCATTTCTGCTTACTCCTCCTCTTGTAGTCACTTCCCATTCATTTGGCGTTTGGTATTCCCATTCAGTCTGTCTATGAATGGGCTGAATACCCATTCATTCCCCAGTTCAGTCCCGCGGCTGAATTACTTGTTGAGTAGAATGAATGGGCCGATTGCCCATTCATCCACACTGCCCCGCCATCTCCGATCGTCCCTAGGCGTCGTTTCACCCACCCAGTCGTTAGCGCGCGCTTCATCTCCCCCATTGAAAAATCTTGAGTGTCCTCACTCAATTTCTTCGTCAGCTTATCTCCAGTAGCTTCCTTCAAAAGCCCTGACTTGTTGTGGGTCCTCTCCCAACTCTGCTTCTCACTTCATGCCATACCCTTCTTACTTCGACTCTTCGGACTTCGCGGTTGACCCGCGCTTTCCTCGCCTGCCTAACGGTGCTCACTCCGGACCTTCTTTTCCTATCCCACCACCCTCTGTCATCATGGTCACGTCAACCGGACCGAACGGCGAGACCGTGTTCCCACGCATCCATGAGCACTCCGCCACCGCCAATTCCTGTGAAGTGCAGCGTGCTATCCGCTGGCGCACCACAGTCCGTGACCTGCTGTTGTGTTTTTGTCTTCTTTAACTCTGATTTTAGGATGTCTCCAAGTGCGCCTACTGCGCCGCCCATGATCTTCCTTGCCGGTTTCGTTCCCACGGTGTTCCGTGCCCGAACTGCCTCTTCGCCGCGCATGACAACTGCACATTCACCAATCCCAACGTCTTCCTGCGTTGCTTGACGGACTGGCGTACTGGACGAGATTACGAGCATCCGCCAGGAGCTTTCGGACCAGGTATCCGATCCTTCTCAACTCGGTATGTCGCTCTGCTGCTCCCGTTGCCCAGCTCAGTTTTCTTCAGTTATTTGCTTTAATCATGCCGTTGACCACGTTGATCGTGGAGTTCAAGGAGCCATGTCACTCTTTGAGGTGCGTTATTTTTGACCAGTTGTGCCATTGCTTACGCCTATTTTATGCTTAGGCCACCACCCAAGTGCTGCAGGGCATCGCTTTGTGTGGCTACAACGACCTGTCAGTGCTGCCAAACAACTCCGACCATCTGGCACGGGTCGTGACTTTGGCATTGGATTCACGCTTCTCTGATTAGATAATCCGCTTCCGCTTCTGTTATTTATTTGGTGTGAATGGATAATTTTAGGCTTGCTGGCCGGGCCTTCTTCTTTTTGGCGGTTCCATTTTGTTTGAATGAGCTCTCTTTGCCTATATAGACCAGCCTTTCTTCTGGTGTAGAGCAAGCTGGCCTTCCTTCGTTTGCCCATGCCCTCCTCTCGTCCTTTTACCGGTCACCGCATTCGTCTTTCCGCGCCATTAGGACCCACTACCGCCTTGTCCTCTCGAAGCTCTTCCCCATCCATTGCCGACACCTTCGCTACCGCCAATCCTGTCCCACACACTGTCGCTTGGAAGCCACGCGTCCTTTCGCGTGATCTCGACCTTCATATCGATCCGCAAGGCCGTGCAATCTTCTCGGTGATAAGCGCCCAGCCTTATCCGGTTATTTCCGACGAGGTATTGCGCGCTGTTACTTATCGCAAGCTGGTGCTTCTTTTGACTTCGGGTTTCTCACCTGCTGATTGTGCACAGGTCTTCCAACGATGCTCCTTGTGCCTCGAGCGATTGTTCATCTGCCAGTTCCGTGCCATGGGTGTGCCGTGTAGCGCCTGCGCGGCTTCCGGCGCCAAAACCTGCTGCTTCGTTGATCCCGTCAATTTCTTCGACTGCATCACGGAGTTCCACGGCAACGAGCTGGCCGAGATCGAGCTCGACATCCGTAATCAACTTCAAGATGGTAGCCTTGATGCCGAAGATGCCGGTATGTTTCGGGTGTTCCCGCGTCACCTGCTGACTTATCTTATGTTTTTCAGATGCTCATTTTCATCGTTCCGCTTTCCGTGTCAATCGTATCGTTCAAGCCGCCATCCATCGTTTCCAAGTATTTTCCTCTTCTCCTTCATTATGTCCTAGCTGACGTCTTCCAGATAACCTCCTCTGTCACCGACGGACTCGTGTTCAGCGGTTACCAAACTTTCATCTCAGCCTGCAACGACGTCGCTTTCCTGGGAAGTTTCATCTCTGCCGCCGAGCAGTCAGGTGCTCTCCACCCTTCTGTCAAGATAGCTGCCGCGGAGCGTATTATCGCTCTTTCTCGTCCCCAGATCGAGTAGATTCATGTATAGCCATCTTATGACTCATTCAACTGAGTCCTCCTTTTCGATTTGAATGTATTTGGTCTTCGAGGCTAATTAGCAAAATGAGTCGTCCCATATCGGGCTTACTCCATAGCCCGATCGGCGTGTTGCCACCTGACAACGGATCTAGATCCGCAATATACTTCCGCCAGATAGGCTCAACTTGCTGTGCGCTGTATGCTGCTGGCCAGCATATATATAGCGGTATGTGTTCCCTCTTTTCCTTAGTCTGTCCTTTCTCTTTCCTTCGTCCTGCTTTTCTCTGTTCGTCCAGCCCGTCATCTTCCTGTTCTCACGATTGCCGTCATGTCTTCTTGTGATGCCCGTTTAGCCGCGCCGGAGCTGGCCTCCTTGGCATCGATTCTTCGCAATATTCGTCACAACCTCCCAACTGGTGCCGCGGACCGTTCTGCCGTCCTGATCGAGTATGCTCATAGTCTGGTCAGTTGTCCCTTTTCTGGTGCTGTTATCGCTGACCCCTTCCTCCAGCTTTCGATGCGTGAAAATATTCGTTTCTTCGTAGTTCACTCGACCGCCGCCGAATGCGTCTTCACTCTGCGGACTGCAATGATTCGTCATGGATTTCGCCTTACGGGCCCGTCTGGCCGGGTTTTCTCCAATATCATCATCTTCTGCTCCGACATCACCCGCCTCCGTCGCGCCGACCGGGCTCAAAAGCGGGCTGACAAGCAGCGCGTTGGTCTCTCCGAGTCCCTTGCAGCCGACACTGGTCCTTCCGAGTACGTGAACAACCTCGCAAAATGGCAGGTATGATAGTTTGATTTCCTCCTACCGTTCTTTCTTCCTAACATATCTGGCAGGCTGACCCGCTTGGTTCCTTTGCTGCTGCCGCCCGACGAGTCCAAGTCTCCTGTCGAGCCTGCCTCTCCTGCGGGTCCCGCTCCCGTTGTCGTGACTGACGCTGGTCGTCCATCTGCTCAGGGTAAGTTTTTCCTTATGTTGTCCATGTTGTTTGATCTTCTGAAGTATTTTTCCAGTTCCTATTTCTCCTGTTACTGAGCTATTGCTCCGTTTTAGCGCCGTTCGAGTCCAGACTCCTCAAGTCCAGGTGCGTGCTTCCTTTCTTCTTGTCCATTTTACTTATGTCTTTTGTTAGCCTCCGTCTCTAACGGACAAGCCGATGACGAAGCGTCCGCTCCTCCACGCTCTCGACGCGCTCTTCGTCCCGGATTCGCTCGACGGACCAAGCGTCCCCGGCCTGCTTCACGTTCATCATCCATCGACAGGCGGTCCAAGCGGCAAGGTGCGCTTATTCAGTTAAAATTTTTCTTCCTCGGTTAACGGGCTTCTTCAGCGCAATCTGGCA